AAAATTAATTAGTTGTAAAACTTAGTAGTTTTTAAATTCAGTTTTTCTTACACATAATTGATCTTTATAACTGATTGTCCTTATAAATTAAATTTAGTGGGTTATTTTATTGGAGGTAAAAAAAAACATTGCTTATATAATTTATATTATTAGTATGTACAGTTAATAAATATCTTTTTTTTAGGTACAAACTCGACATATACTTAGGGATGGGCAAATTTTGTAAGTTACATTGTAACTTACATAATAACTTACATGATTTCGCAAACTTACACTAAGATACATATTGTAACTTACATGTAACTTACATGTAACTTATATCAAAATTTGAAACTTACGCAAAATTCTCACGCTTCACTGTATGAATTGTAATTGGTTTTTGATCTAACTGAATAAGAGAAGTGTTATTCGAATTTTTACTATTGTAAAACCAATTATATTATAACCTTAATTTTTTTTATAAGCCAGGCCTTTAACTAATGTAACCAAATAGCAAGTTTTCCTTTGGATTTCCAGATAGCTTGCTGTTTATGGGCTTGTAATGCTGCTTCACATTCTTCAATCTCTTTCAATAATGGTACCATCAATGCATCAAAATTTTTTATGAAGTTATCATTATCCATCTCTTGCTAGTATAGTTCTAATGCAGCATTAAATTTTTTTTTGTAATAAGTGTACTTTTCTCTTCTTTTTCCCATTATATTATGATTTACTACTAATTCATCTTGCAAAACACTTAAGCTGGGATCAGCTTCAACAGAATTGTGATCTGTATTTATTATGTGAAGCCTAGTTCAGGAATTGTTGATTGGATTAATTATTGGTATTTGATCATTGCCAAAGATAAGTAGTAGATAATCATGTCATCATGATGTTTCCAAAAAGGTTGGCAAAAAATGTTTACCATTTTTCTTATTTATAAGATGTTTACAAAGATGGTAACAACTATGTAAATATGCTGGGCAAGAACACACCCAGTTATTTATATCGATATGGTATTTTTCATCTATATTAGGCTGAATATCTGCTATTGCTGCTTTATGCCATTCTGCTTTGAACTCATGCCACCATGCTGGAAAAGTTCTATTTCTATTATACTGAGTTAGCTTAATTTCAAAATCGGGAATAAGCTGCTCAGTTATTATTTGAGTAAGTTTATCTATGCGTGGT